GACGGGGAGCAGTAGAGAGCCAGTGTCGCAAGGTCCTAGCAGATGCCATCAGCCCTGGGAGAGGGAAGGTGGGGATGGGGTGGGAAGCTGGGCTCATTGAGGTTGTCACTTTGTTGGTTTGGTTTTTGTTTTTGAGGTAGAGTCTCACTCTGTCACCTAGGCTGGAGTGTAGCAGCACAGTCACAGCTCACATGCAGCCTCGAACTCCTGGGCTCAAGTAATCCTCCCACCTCAGCCTCCCAGGTAGCCTGCCACCAGGCCTGGCTATTTTTCTTAATTTTCTGTAGAGATGGAGTCTCGCTGTGTTGCCCAGGCTGAGATTGTCACTTTCGAAGCACATTTTTCCCTTCTGAAAAATGACACATCCATTTCACATATAATGTGATGATATTAATAAGATAATTATTGGCCGGGCGCGGTGGCTCAAGCCTGTAATCCCAGCACTTTGGGAGGCCGAGGCGGGTGGATCACGAGGTCAAGAGATCGAGACCATCCTGGTCAACATGGTGAAACCCCGTCTCTACTAAAAATACAAAAAATTAGCTGGGCATGGTGGTGCGTGCCTGTAATCCCAGCTACTCAGGAGGCTGAGGCAGGAGAATTGCCTGAACCCAGGAGGCGGAGGTTGCGGTGAGCCGAGATCGCGCCATTGCACTCCAGCCTGGGTAACAAGAGCAAAACTCCGTCTCAAAAAAAAAAAATAATAATAATGATAATTATTATCACCATTATTATACCAGTCACCATTTGTTGAGCCCATCCCATCTCTGCATCCCAGCCCTCCAGAGTCACAGACTGGGCCAATGGAAAGAGAATCAGTGTGAGGCTGGGCACAATGGCTCACTCTTGTAATCCCAACACTTTGGGCAGCCGAGGTGGGCGGATCAACTGAGGTCAGGAGTTTAAGACCAGTCTGGCCAACATAGTGAAATCCCTTCTCTCTTTTTTTTTTTATTTTTATTTTTTTTTTATTTTATTTTTATTTTTTGAGACGGAGTTTCGCTCTTGTTGCCCAGGCTGGAGTGCAATGGCGCGATCTTGGCTCACCGCAACCTCCGCCTCCTGGGTTCAGGCAATTCTCCTGCCTCAGCCTCCTGAGTAGCTGGGATTACAGGCATGCGCCACCATGCCCAGCTGCTTTTTGTATTTTTAGTAGAGACAGGGTTTCACCATGTTGACCAGGATGGTCTCGATCTCTTGACCTCGTGATCCACCCGCCTCAGCCTCCCAAAGTGCTGGGATTTTTTTATTTTTATGTATTTATTTATTTATTTTAAAGACGGGGTTTCACCATGTTGGTCAGGCTGGTCTTGAACTCCCGACCTCAGGTGATCCGCCCACCTTGGCCTCCAAAGTGCTTGGATTACAGGCGTGAACCACTACGTCCGGCTGTGAAATCCCATCTCTACAAAAAATATAAAAATTAGCCAGGCATGGTGGCATGCGCCTGTAGTCCCAGCTACTTGGGAGGCTGAGGCAGGAGAATCGCTTGAACCCAGGAGGCGATTCATTTAATGTTGTATATCCATTAACAGATGTTTATGGTTAGTTTTGTAATTTCATCTTTCCAATTTTAGAGAATAAATAAAAGTGATTTTGGGCCAGGCGCAGTGGCTCACACCTGTAATCCTAGCACTTTGGGAGGCCAAGGTGGGCGGATCACCTGAGGTCAGGAGTTCAAGACCAGACTGGCCATCATGGTGAAACCACATCTTAAAAAAAAAAAGTGTTTTTGGCACCATTATTATCGTACCACATTTAGCACCATTATTATAGTACATTTATTTTTCTATATGTGCGTGTCGTTTCCAGATAGTCAGATATTTGATATAATTATTTGCTATGTTCTAGCATTGCATTATATTCGATGGAAAGGATTCCTTTTAGCATTTCTTATTTAACATGTGTAGTGGTACCATAGCCTTTGGTTATCATGGAAAGTCTATCTTTTAATCATTTTGTAGGACACTGGTTATATTACTCTTGCTTGGAAGTTTTCTTTTCAGCAATTAGACTATCTCGTCTAATTTCCTTCTTGCCTCAAGTTGTCCCTTTTTTGAGACAGGGTCTTACTCTGTCACTCAGACTGGAGTGCAATGGTGTGATCATGGATCACTGCAGCCTCAACTTCCCAGGCTCAGGTGATCCTCCCTCCTCAGCCTCCTGAGTAGCGTGGACTATAGGTGCGCAACACTGCGCATGGCTAATTTTTTATATTTTTTGTAGAGATGGGATTTCACCATGTTACTCAGGCTTGTCTTGAACTCCTGGGTTCAAGCGATCTGCCTGCTTCAGCCTCCCAAAGTGCTGGGATTGCAGGTGTGAACCACCACACCCAGCCTGGCCTTGAGGATTCTGTGGACAAATTCACTGGTGATCTCATAAGAGCATGCTTATAAACGACACATTGCTTTTCACTTGCTGCTTTCAAGATCCTTTTCTCCTCTGTGACTTTCGAAACTGTGCTGCTAATGTGTTTTGCATCTCTTTTTGCTTATGCTATTGATGTGTTGAGCTTCTGTATGTTTTTGTATCTCTGTTGTTACTTTGGAGAATTTTTCAGTAATTATTTTCTTTCATATCTTCAGTTTTGGAATTCATGTGTTATACTTTGTATCTTTTTATTGGTATTGTCATTTTCCTAATTTTAGTTTTCTGCTTTCCCATTTTTATTCACTGAGCATTATTCAAATAATTTTATTTTTTCAGTTAATTTATGCATCTCCACTGTTTAGGGTTGATTTCTGAACTTTTTGATTAATTGCACCACATGATCCTAACACTTTGAACATGTCATCTTTGATTGAGATTCAAGCATTAACAAAAAGCCTCCTGCCACAACCTTTTTAATGTGGCTTTCTCCTGGGGTAGTCTAAAACAAATTGGCCCAGATTCTAGAAGCCTCTTAAGCCCGTTCTGAGGGTGTGTCTTGTGTGGAATTGTGTGTGTATTTTTCAGTGAGAGGGTTTCTCGGGTTTCTTTATAGTGGCCTGTGGTCACCTGCTCCACTTGCTGCTGGTGGTGCTGCTGCAGCCTTCCTGCTGCGGTCCCAGGGATTTCCTTTTGGTCTCAGAGACTCAACCTGTCATTCAGAGGACCCCCATTTCTTTCAGCACTCCGTGTCATGAGGGGCAGAAACCAGACTTTGCCAAAGCTTCAAAAGGACAAAAGTAAAAACACTTGTGTCAGTATTTTCTTTCTCTTGAAGGAGAAGCCAGGAGTTGAGGGTTTACTCTTAAAGGTATTCTGCTGTACTGCAGAGGAGCAGGGAGTGTGGGGAGGCTAAATGTAATCAACACTTTTTTCTTCTTCTTATGTGGCTCTTCACATTGCGCTCACTTGGTGTGCTGCAAACTCTGAAGTGGTTCTTACAGTCCAGATGCATTTTCTCTCTAGTTATTACTACATTTATATGTTTAGTAAAAAATTAGGACCCGCAGTATTTTTTGTGCCATTTAGCTAATGTACTCGGTATTATTTTATAGATAAAATTCATAGAGTATATTCATCTGTGTCTAGTAAGTGGGGTAACTTTTGTTTATTATTTTTATTTTTTTATTTTTGAGACACAGTCTTGCTCCATCGCCAGGCACCAGGCAGGAGTGCAGTGGCGTGATCTCGGCTCAATGCAACCTCTGCCTCCTGGGTTCAAGCAATTCTCCTGCCTCAGCTTCCCGAGTAGCTGGAACTACAGGTGCATGCCACCCCGGCCAGCTAATTTGTGCATTTTTAGTAGAGACAGGTTTCACCATATTGGCCAGGATGGTCTCATTCTCTTGACCTCGTGATCCTCCCACCTCAGCCTCCCAAAGCACTGGGATTACAGGGGTGAACCACCGCGCCCCGCCATATTTTGTTTATTTTTTTTTTCAGCTATGTTGTACTATTTTACCCAAGACCTTCTGCCAGAGCAGAGCATACAAGATGCATTCCCAAAATCAACACTGACAGGATATGGAAATTGTGGCCTTGACAACTTCCACTGGAGGAAAAACTGGGGAAATTTAGATGAATGTAAGCTGCAGAAAGAAGATTATAATGGACTTAACCAATGTTCATCAACTACCCATAGCAACATATCTCAATGTAGTAAATGTTTTAAAATCTTTAATAATTCTTCAAATGTACACAGACATAATACAAGTCATACTGGAGAGAAACCTTCCAAATGCAAAGACTGTGGCAAATCCTTTCAAATTTTCTTTCCTAACAGAACATCAGAAAATTCACACAGAAAAAAATCCAAAAATGTAAAGAATGTGGCAAAAGCTTTCACCAGTGCTCACATTTTACTGAACATAAGAACATTCGTACTAGAGAGAAACCTTACAAATGTAAAGAATGTGACAAGGAGGCCGGGCGCGGTGGCTCAAGCCTGTAATCCCAGCACTTTGGGAGGCCGAGGCGGGTGGATCACGAGGTCAAGAGATCGAGACCATCCTGGTCAACACGGTGAAACCCCGTCTCTACTAAAGCTACAAAAAATTAGCTGGGCATGGTGGCGCGTGCCTGTAATCCCAGCTACTCAGGAGGCTGAGGCAGGAGAATTGCCTGAACCCAGGAGGCGGAGGTTGCGGTGAGCCGAGATCGCACCATTGCACTCCAGCCTGGGTAACAAGAGCGAAACTCCGTCTCAAAAAAAAAAAAAAAAAGAATGTGACAAGGTTTTTAAAACTTGCTTAGTCCTCAGTCCTTTGGGAGGCTGAGGCAGGTGGATTGCTTGAGGTCAGGAGTTTGAGACCAGCCTGGTCAACATGGTGAAACCCCGTCTCTATTTTTTAAAAAAAGGAAAAAACAAACAAATGAGATAGGGGCTAAAACAGAAGCCTAAGCACTGCCATCTTATAGAGAAACCACCTGGGCCCTGGGCAGAGGTAATTCTCGGAACTGTTATTGTACTGCAGTTCTCAGAGGTGTTAAGGGTAAAAATTTCCACTGCTACCCCCCTCCCCTTGCAACAAACCTCCAGCTTTAGCTTCTGTACAGACAGCTTGCGTTGCATGCTCCCCTCTGTGCCCCCGATCAAGGATGTGGTTTTGCAGCTTAAATGCCTTGCTCCCCCTGAGCTTGGGGCCACGAGTTGGAAAGACTTAAGTCTCTGTGGCCGCTGGCAATAAAAACCCTGCAATTGGCATACTTTTGTCTTGGTGTTGATTTTCTGCTCGCTCCGGTGCAACACAAACAAACAAAAAACTTGCTTAGTCCTTACTAAAAATAGAATGTACACTGCAGGGGAGCGTTACAAATGTGAAGAAGTTGACATTAGTATTCAATTCCGAATTATGACATTATTTAATGCCATACACCAATTCCAAATTATTTAATGCCATTATACAAGTGGCATTAGTATTTAATACAATTAGTATTTGTCAAAAGTATTTAAAGAGTGCTCCCACCTTACTGATCATAAGGACCATGGTACCGAGAAAAAACTCCACAGATATGAAGAGGGTGGCATTGTCTTTCTTTATCTCTTGCTCAAGGCTTTCTAATCATCAGATGATTTTTCGCTGGAGAGAAACTCTCCAAATGTAAAAAATGGTACAAGCCGAAGTTTTTCCAAACATCAGAGAAATGAGATTCGAGGGAAACCTTTCAAATGTGGGGAATGTGACAGCATCTTCAGTTGGTTCTCAGATCTTACTAAACATAAGAGAATTCACACTGGTGAGAAACCAGACAAATGTGACAAACGTGGGAAAGCCGACACCCAGGCCTCACACCTCAGTGAACATAGGAGGTTTCCCAACGGAGGGAAACCCTACCAATGTGAAGAATGTGGGAAAGCCTTCAGAACTCGCTCAAGCCTTTCTAACCATGACAGAACTCATTCTGAAGAAAAACCCTACACGTGTGAAGAACGTAGCACCATCTTTAAGCAGTCATCAGACCTCACGAAACCTATGAAAACCCATACTGGAGAGAATCTTTACAAATGTGACGATCGTGGAAAAAACTACCCAGTCCTCAAAGCTTATTGTATATCAGAGAATTCATACTGGAGAGAAATCCTACAAGTGTGAAAAATGTGACAAAGCCTTTATCCAGGTCTCACACCTGACTGTACATGAAAGCATTCATATTTGAGAAAAAAATAAACAAATATAAAAATTAGGAAAGCTTTTAGTATCTGCTCACATCTTACTTCACATCAGAGTTCATACTTAATCAAGTTATTATAAATATAATGACTGCTTCATGAAATACAAGTTTTCAGAGCATAAAAGAGTACTTATTCTGATTAAAAACATTAGAAATAAGTTTTATACTAGATGGAAGCCTTGCATCAGCTGCTTAAACTTTATTCAAATTCAGAGAATTTGTATTGGAGAGAAACCCTTCAAATGTCATAAGTGTGGAATAACATTTGTTCAGAAACTATAGCTTAGAAAACACCAGGAGGGCCGGGCGTGGTGGCTCAAGCCTGTAATCCCAGCACTTTGGGAGGCCGAGGCGGGTGGATCATGAGGTCAAGAGATCGAGACCATCCTGGTCAACA